TGCGTGCGTTGACGCCAACATTCACGATGTCGTACTTCACGAACGACGGTGCTGCTATCCTCTTGTGACAGGGAGATGCAGTCGAGAGGATGCGCTTGCCCCCTCGCTCCTACTGGGTGCACTTTTGGCGTCGTATTCGGGACCATCTCGTCCCCCCCTGCTTGTCTTGTCATGGAACGCACGCCAATCGTGGCAGGCAGCTCTCCCTATGCATGCGTTGCGACTGCAAACGACGATGCACCACACAATACCGACATAACAACCTGAAATTGTCCCCGCGGTACATCGAATGGCCACCCGCTCCAAACGTGGCGACGTCGGTGGCCCCACATGCGCATCACGACATGTCGAGACAAACCTCAGTTTAACCTTACCACGAAATCCCGACCGGTGCTGATGTGTGGGGGCGATTTTGGCCAGAGCAACGTCGCTTGACAAGCATATCTCTTTCCTTGCAGATCGAAATGCTGATGACGAGAGATGCATCGACATGGATTCCAATGGATAGACGCATGCAGGATACGTATGCAATCCATTTTAATTCTTTGGTCGTTTCGTGGTAGTCGTTTTCCGAACTGGAGTGGGCGACGGGGTTGGCGCAGGAGTTGGGGCAGGTGTAGGCGCTGGGGTCGGCGCAGGTGTGGGCGACCGAGTGGGTGCAGGGGTCGGGGCAGGTGTAGGTGCTGGGGTCGGTGCTGGGGTCGGCGCTGGGGTTGGGGCAGGTGTAGGTGCTGGGGTCGGCGCAGGTGTAGGTGCTGGGGTTGGGGCAGGTGTAGGTGCTGGGGTCGGCGCAGGAGTAGGTGCTGGGGTCGGTGCTGGGGTCGGCGCAGGGGTCGGGGCAGTGAGGGCTCGATCAATGTTAAGGCGACCGTAGCCGTAATTGTTGTTTGGGTACTGGGAATCCGACACGCCGCCACAATTTTGGTTGGCAACAGTCAACGATCCTTTGTCGGTGTTGCCCGTCAAGGCTGCATACACTTGGGCGTACGAAGCACCGGGGTTCGCTGACAAGTAGAGGGCCACGGCGCCCGTGACGTGCGGCGCGGCCATCGACGTGCCAGACTTGAGAACGTACCCGGTGTCCGATAAATAGTCGATCGACTGAATACTGACCCCTGGGGCCGACACATCCGGCTTGATCCGACTGTCATACGTCGGGCCACGGGAGCTAAAGGACGCGAGACCGTCCGCGGCGTCCGTGGCACCGACCCCAATCACGTCCGCAGACATGCCAGGGCTCCCGACAGTGCCGCAAGTGCTGCCGCTGTTCCCGTTGGAAAAGACGGGAATGATGCCTGCAGCACGCCACGCGGAGATTTGTGGCTGAAACCACGTCGCCGTCCCATCGGTCGACCCCCACGAGTTATTGATCACGCGGGGGGCCTTGGTGCAGTCCTGCACCCCTGCCGAGTTCGTCGGACAAAGCATCCATTGTGCGCACGCTGTCAGCGCCGATTGGGGACAAGTGGTGCTGGTGCAACCCACACAAGCGATCCACTGGACGTCCGGCGCGACGCCGATGCCATTCGTCTGCCCCGCAATCGTTCCCATGGTATGGGAACCGTGGCCTTGGTAATCCTTGGGTGTGAGTGATCCTCCCGACGGATCGTACCAGCCAAACTCGGAT